AAAAAAAAAAAAAAAAAAAAGAAAATATTGGCTGCGACTGCAGTTCGAACGTGAGGCACACGTAACAACCATATTTTACGAGAAGTGACGCGATGAATCGTCGCGATTATGCAAATCGGATGATATTGTTAACTGTAATTAAATCGCCTTGCGCCCGATCTTAATTATCTGACTGCCGTCAAGACGTAAAATCTAATTTATTTATCCTTCGATGTAAAAAATATATGTCACTTTGGAAAACAAATGCAAATTGAATTCCAAGTCATTCCATCATTTAAAAGTATAAGGACATTTAATTGCAACGATCTGGACATTTAACTGCGACGATCTGACTCACGATAATGCTAATTGTAATTGCAATGAAATAATAAAATTAAAGGCTACACGAGAAAGTTGAACTTATGTTGAAGATCAAAGCCTGAAAGATTGTGATTTAATCCTTGATTAAATGGATCAGACTAATTTGAGCCCCTATGAGAGCTAAATTACTTAATTTTAAAGCTGGCTTTGTTTTAATTTGCACTACATCGTTTCAACGTGTTTTACATCTTGTAAACTGTGAAATAAAATTAGAATTAAGTAACCTATTCAACAACGTTGAAATATCTTCTCGAAACAGTAAGATATATCTGTGAAGTTTCATAAAAATCCAAATGCATACCTAATATTGTAACAACTGGTAATTTCGACAATTTCGATAAATACTTGAAAATCAAACAATCCAAACAATTTTGATATCTGGGCTTGATTCACAGTGCTTTAAAAATAGATAATTTTTGAGAATAAAAAAAACAAAATCCAAAAACAACTTTAATGATCCGAATTTAATTCATAGCGCTGTGCCTTGAAAATCACGTAAAATAAACGAGAACAATATCAATAATTCGGATTTTGACTCACAGTACAACGACTTGAAAAGTGAAAGAAAAGAATAGTGAAAGAGTGCGTTATCTAGCGACATCTTTCACTAATTGTATCACATTTTTCACCTAAATACGGCAGTTATCTACGACACGAACAATAGTGAATGTTCGTTACTCACTTCTGAAGCAGTTCCATGTGCTGTTGTCTCTCCGACAGATAGACGGCGAAGCTCTGTTGCAGAAGATCGGCTCGCGACTGGAACATCTGCGTGATGTCCTCGAGATTCGCCACCACGGCGGCCCAACCTTGTTGCTGAAGGTGTTGATCGTGAACCAGCCTCTCACAGATCCTGGTCTGCTCCCGCGCCAATCCACAGCATTGCTGAGCCAATTGGGCACGGGAGATGAGGGTCTGGTAAGTGGCTGGCATCGTCAGCGACGAGTCGATTTGGTTCTGAAGATCGACATCTGCAATGCAAAGGACCACCGATCGCATCAAGTTCTTAATAAAGGAATATTCGTCGAGAACGCGCGAACCGTTCATTAAAATACCGATCGAACCATGGACTGTCAACCAGAGAATGGCGAGATGATCCTAAATCGTCTTTTTCCCTCGTTTTCTTTTTTTTTTTTTTAAAAAAGGCAACAATATTAGAGTGACAGTGTAATATTTTGTAATAGACGTGAATTTATATTTCTTTCAATAGGTTATAATGTGAGAATTCACCTCGTATCTTTTATTAACGCGAAAGAAGGTATATCTCAAGGTAAATTAAGTTGTTAAATGAAACAAGTATTTTTAGAGCTCACTGTTTCCATAATGAATTTCTATAATTTTCTTTTTTTCTTTTAAATTCTGGACTCGCACTACTCGTCAAGGACTTCTTGTTAATAGTTGCTGTAAACTAATATTTGTCAAAACGAATCCCTTCAATTTCAGTACCAGCATCAATTTGTAATTTCGTACAGAAACTTTCTAGACATTTACAAGGAAGTTTTTACTCTAGGTTCTCTTCTTTTAGATTTGGATGACCGTCGTGGATGTCGAACTTACGCTACACCGATCTTTGTTAAAACAGTTATCCTACAGGATTAACCCTGTCGATTGCGCGGCGGCGAATCGACGTCCCAAGGTCATTTCCTTGTCCTCGATCCGCCCCATTGTTCGATTCGAGCACTCGAAACAATATCCATCGACTTCTCTCTATCTACGATTCGCGAGATAACTCTCCGAAAGCAGGATAACTTCCGGCGAACAGTGTCGACGAGAAGCAACCATTCCCGTCGGCCAATTATGCAAACACATTTCGCAAACTGCGGGATCAGCACGGTACGATCGGCTCGATTAATGATCCGAACGATGAACCTCGATTTTCATACGGATAAGATAAATTTCAAGAGCGAACGAATCATCGAAACGAGCCTTTACACATTCAACGAGAAACTCGAAGACAGAGAAACACAGTGTTACACAACAGATTTCTACTTATTGTTAGATTCTTTAATTGTACATTGCTTCGACTATGTTGAGAAAGATCGTCAGCAGGCAACGAGAAGATTGTTCGTGTGCAATGAAATATTCGTAAGACCTCTAAAACCCCTCGAAAGACAAGAGACAAAATTGAATGCGAGTAAACCGATATCGTGTACAGTGATATTGGTTATCAATAATGTTTATGCGTTTGGATGCGATTGGATGAGCAAAACATGATAAGTTTATTTTTGGACGTTTCCTTATTTTTACATTACTTGGTGGCTAAAACGAAATAATCTATTATAACGTGATTTATTTAAATAATCTGTCTGTTAGATATAGTCCAAGCGCGAATGAGCTGAATTTTATTGTTCAATCAAGTAGAAGTGATTAATATTTTACAGTGCAATATTGCTTTTACGCAACGTCGAGCGTGAAACGATTGTACACAGATTTTTATTTCAGACCATGACCGGCATGATGGACACTCATCGTTATGAATACCGCGTCACCTGATCTCTCTCTTATTAAGATGATTAACAAATGAAAGAACGAGTCAGTTAATAAATAAAAGATGTAAATATACATCTCTCTATTAAACACTAAACCTTCTGATCAATTAACAACTGTGTAAAGAAACAGGAAATTTGCTATAAAAAAATTTGCATGTGTGTAATTAACATCAAGAAAATGTGTGTGTTTGTGCGTGTGTATTATTAGAATACTCGTTTCATTTTCTCGCACGCAGCAAAAGCTGTTGCAAGACGTCTTATCATTTAGAATTGGTGATTCTTGCAAACTTGCAACAATAAAAAAAAATCAGCTGATCGCCAGAGGGAATAATGAAGAGACGAAAACACACGTGACATTTCGTTAAGAGCGACACGATCTAACCCTGATTTTATACTTATTGACGATGGCAGACTCCTGCAAACGATCCTCGCGCCAGTCTATACTTTGTTACTTGATGCTTTAATTTAGAAGCTGGCTACGTGTATATATATATATATATATATATATATATATGGCGGAGGCTGTTATATCTCGAAGCGAGGGATTCGAACGAACATCCGACGGATAGAGCGTCCGCAAGCCGCCTGTATAATTGATCGAGATTCGCCAATGTAATCTTGGCACGCGACGAAAGCTCAAGGTCGCGGACACAATTCGCGCCGTCATACCTTGGATTCGGTTCACACCTGGTTCTCCAGGTACGGAACGTTCTACTGCCGACTGAGCTGCTGTTAGGAAGATTACACTGTCGATTCAAAGTTCGACATAATTAACACTTTCACGACAGGCGTGTATGCTTGATATCGATTGTCGAAAAATTTATTGATATAAATAAATGAATACTTGTGAAAATAGAACAACTGTGTCAAAATATTCTACGTATAGATTGCTATAATTTAGATAATTAAAAATAAGTAGATTCGTACACTAGCGTTTCGAGAGAAGTTTAATATTAATTAATTATTCGCAAGAACAGCCGTATCTTTCATGTAGTTCAAACGAAAGTCTGAGATCGGTTATAGTTGCAGCTTAATATAATACAACAAAAATTGTACAATTCTGTTATTTCAAATATCTCGCCGGCAAAGTGTTTAAGACAATTGCACGCGGCGAGAGATACTAATATGTTTTTAACACATCGTTGATCAAAT